TATATATATATTCATATATATATGCATACATATATATATACAAATAATTTCATATTCAAATATGTTTACTGATAATTCACAACACATAGCCATATATACATATACATCCAAATTGTTCAATTTCGAAGTGCCAATTTTATATGCATAAATAATATGAAAATTAAGAACGAGTGAACAATACTTCAAGAATGTACGTTGATTTCAGTACTAAAAGGACTAGGATATATATTCACTGGCAAGTATTTCGTAAATGTAGATAATATGCATGAAAGTGAACATGCAGAACGCATGATATCGTTCGGACATCCATATCCCCCCCCCAAAAAAACATCTACAAAGCAGACAACTTTGCGCTACTTCCCATGTATACTCTGACGCTTGTGAAGATTACTTAGAATAGTAACAAAAGGTATTAAAAAGGCTGCAAATTCAATTTGAACGAGATGATACGATTATTGCTATAACTTATAGTACAACTTGAGGGAGGTGGTATGATATAAACCATATCCTACTGAGCAGCGCACGGCTGTTCTTAAGAACTCGTCTATTGAACTCGTGAAGACGTCAATCGGCATAGATATACTCGTCACAGGATAATTTGGAGTGGTGTATGCATCTATATTTGAGCGCTGTAATCGGTACAGTACCAAAAGAACAGTACAAAGAACACTGCACACACGGCGCAAACCTCATTGCGTTAAGATAGGTTAGCATATATTGAACGTCAACGTACAAAGTTTGATATTCATTTTTACGATAAGAAACGGTTTACAACCTACTGTGAACAAAAAAGCCGACAATATTTTGTGTATGTTGCACCTCGGAACCTTTATTCTGCACCTTATGGGACATATAGGACTGATCCTCAATAATGAATTTCATACGTTCTACTAGCGATAGTAAACATAATGAGGGCCACAGAGCCACACTGCCTGGCCCTGCACTGCCTGCAGTCACAAATAGGCTATGAGTCCTATGACTCATCACAGTCTCTGATATAAATTTTTTTTGGTATGAAATACACACAACAAGTAAATATATCATTTTACCTATAAAGAATTAAAGATAATATTTACGAATAGCAAAAACATCGTTGGAGCATGCCAAGATATTATTGGACAACGTTTATGTTACGACATCACATTGGTCGTCAAATAGGCTTATCCTGAAAATCCGGAGCAGAGCTGTATATACGCACGTTCCACGAAGAAATATCAATACAGCACATTATGTAGTCATTATTATCTCATACGTCGACAAATTTTTTTTAACTAAATAGAACACAAGAGGGAGGATATGACTACATATTTTGTATTATACTACACAACAAGGATCTTAAAATCATCTTATGTTGTGGACATCACCGAAGTATACAAAGAGGAAAGTACTGCCTGTTGTACAACAATAGTGCTAGGTACCCGATCATGGCGTGCTTCCCAGCGGCGACAAGTAACTGAACATAGCATACCTGTGCAAATTCCACAAAACAAGTAGTTTACATCCCACAAATTAAATTCAGAAAAGAAAGCAATATCACACACTGATAGTCATATAGACAACTCAACGTCTAGGATGACAATGACCTTGAGACATCAAGTTCTTGGTTGGAAAAAATGGATCAATGTGATCCTCGCCATATTACTCACAATAGTTGGCGTACACTGGTACACCAAAGCGCAAACATGCCCAAACAATATAAGTATGGATATATCTGCGGATGTAATTGTTGACACAGACACAAATAGTATTAAAACAGATGCCGATCACTTGCAAAAAGCAGAAGCAGCTTTAACGAACTTATTCACTACGTGGGACTCTTTTCTAACCACATTAAGAGAAGAGGAGACGTCTGATAGAGTAGATGGCTCGGCCATATATGCATCAGTGAATAGTAAGCGGTTTCTCACCATGCTGCAAAGCGATTTGTCGGTGCTGAAACGAGATTCCTATCTTGTAACATCCATTGCAGGTACGTTAACCCAAGTTTTCATTTCGGTTTATATATCGCATTGGTTTGAGTTTGTCTGTTTCCGCAAGAGTGTGTGACGGGACGGACACTCGAATAACAGGGTAAAGCTTATATACGGGCTTTCGAGTCATTCAAAAGTAATATATAACTCTAAATAATATATACTTTTTCGGATTGGGCTCAAAGAAATCAAGTTCTGGCTTGTATGTCTGATATTACAATTAAATTCCAGTCGGTCAATTGATAAAGCTTCTTTTGGTGTCCCTCACCGTATCGTTTATACTCACTTGAACGCGCCCGTGAAATATGTGCATTTAAATGTCATGTTGTCGCTCGTTCTTAGACCGCTGAGCATAGTAGTGCATTCAATTGATGGAAAAGCAAGCCATTGCGGTATATGAGAGTACGAGATTCGCAATTTTATCCTCTATGAATGTCGATAGGTAGATCTCTGTAGCATAGCATTTCTCTCAGTTGGACTGTTTCTTCGCCTTCGTATTAAAATGTACTCTATATCCTTATTGTTTTCAAAGTATCAAGAGTATTCAACAGTCGGCTTTATTAGTTTGTCGTAAATTTGTGTCTTCCAGTATTCATTAGGGCTTCATGTACGTGTAAATCAGTCCATTATCTTAAGTTGGTACTCCCTCTCAAACTACACTGTCAACACCTACAACTACAGTCCCGGGATTCATCCGGTTGCGATTTTTCCAAAGGCGTGTATTGTGTCGCGATTGCTCTCGTCCTTAAAATCATACAAATGTGTTTGAATAAGATCAGTTAGTTTACTTTCTTCTGTTCATCGAGCACCACACAAAAGTGTATCATTTCAGGTTGTGTATATGTGCTGGTTCTCTTGTCTTTTCCTCTCTTATTATATTACAATGTATTGAATACATACAGCTGTATACAACTATTCCAATTAATTACCAATAATTATCAACTGGACTATAAAAATTTTGTCTATGCAATAGGGTTCGATATGCAAACGCCGTGTTCTTTAAACGGATTGCAAGAAGCACCCGTTGACAATTGTTTTGATATTCATCATTCCTCAACGTCTCGCAGACGAAGCGGCAGTCAATTTATATTTGAGAAAGTTCGAATCAACAGTCGAAAAGTTGTCACAATTTCCAATGGGTGAGAAGCAAATGGGTATAGACATGAGGCTTACGGATGGTAGTATTACGCTCAACTCAGGTATGTTCACAGAAAGGTATGAGCGATATAGGTGTATATAAGGAATAGAACGCTAAGTGGGTCTGATCGTTTTACGTTTGACAAAATCTGGAATGAAATTTGAAAAATATCTTAGAAATACACCCGCTAACGAGATTTTGCTAATGTTGACAGGCTTCATGTGCAGCTAATAGTTTTTTCTAGACAAGAAAACATCACACTGGAAACATTATAAATTTTAAGAAACAGTACGTCATGCTAGAAACAGTAGTTGTTATCAAACATTCGTACATAATAGGTTTGAGTGCTCATATCCTCGTGTTTGTTTGCGTATTGCACTCTGTGTATTGCTTTAGGGATGGCGTTGAACGTGTATAGTGACATCTGCGTAGATGGCAACAAAACAGTATTCATCGCCCAGGATGAAACGGAATTTGACATGCTCACGAGATGCTGCGACAAGGCGACGCCGATTCACCATCGCATCAAGAGTTGCCGAGCATCCGTGGTGTCGCTCTGTGTTGCTAATGCAGGTATGTATACTGATCGCTTTATCAACGAGCTGTAAGTCTGGCTCCAATTGGATTCTACTCGCTAATACCAAAATGAGCTATATAGGTCTGATTCACATAGATTAAATAACGCACAACAATGTATGTACAAGTGTAGCGAAGTTGGAAAACGTTTCTCATTTTACAGTGCACCTTGTTTGCGAATGCATCCTTGTGCAGACAAAGCTATCGCCACAGAGATCCGAACGCAAGAGTGGGTGGACACGAAAGGTATACGTGTCCTAGATGGGCTGTCCTATTGGCTCTACTCACCAAGTAAACAAGAACACGTTGGCCACTTGGTGAATCGCCTGACGCAGACATTCAGCATGCTCATGGTAAATATGTTTTAATATTTATCATGTGGTTAGATGGCGGTAATTTAGCCTCTTTTGGTTGCTGTTTGTATTCTAATAATTATGCGTACCTCATTATATACCATTTGCTGATCGGGTACAGACACATGAATACTCATAATATAAATTACAGCGCTGACAAGAATAACCATTTCATTCGTATGAATGACTGAGCTCGGCTCCAATTTGGGCACTTGAAAAATATCATAGATTCTTTCGTATTCCGTATTGATAGTATATGAATCCAATCTGAATTTTTGACAATTTTCGCAGGATAATACGGTACCGAACCCTGATTGGATTGTATCCTCTCGGTTGGTTTCGCCTGAGTCTGCACACACAAAGTTTTTGGCTGAGGCTGTGCTGGGTGATTTGATAGAGCGCACGTTGTGGCGCAAAGATATCGAACGAGCGTTGCCGGAAAGTATTGTCTGTATGAAGACTGCACTTGAGGTCAGTAATTTTGAACTATGTATAGCGTGCGATGTTTATCTATACCATTGAATTACTTTTCGTAAGTATTAACAAAGTGTATAAGAAATAAGACCTAGTTCGGATACTCGTTTGATCAAAACATGCAAATATATTGAAATTAAGAGTCAATCTGGTCGGAACGTCAATCTGTTTCTTATGTGTCGTTGAAGGTGATAAAATGACACGCTTAAATACTCGCTGCGTTTTTTATGACTTCCTTCATTTGATCGCATGGGAAATCGTCTATAGATGGGTATATAGAATTGTTATATTTATATACTAGCTGTCATCTTAAATGGTCATCACTATCATTTCTAGATCGATACTTCACAGTACGAGCGCACGTTCTTCACGAAGGAGCAGGGAGAGAAGTGGCGAGAGTATGCATTAGATCACTTCCCACTCAACAAGACCATCTACACCAGGGCTTGTCCAACCCCAAAAGCAGTTGTACTGCAACGGTTGGAAGGAAGCGGTTTGCGCCAGATCCTGAATTTTGATGTGATAGAGCGTGTGTTCAAGCGCAATGGTATCGCCACATATACTAACGTCACTGTAAGCGGTGCGGATGATACCAAGGGGCACATCAGCGTGTTTTCGGACTTCAGTTTGATGATAGCCTCTCACAGCTCCCAGTTAAAGGTATACAAACGGCTATATCGACTTGTTTTGACGGTGGCCATTTCTGTTTCGCATTTTGAATCTCTACCTTTGAGTCAATTGTAACGTCGATCTATGCGCAACGGTGACCTGATGGTCGCAGTCACGAATGGTTGCGTCTGCAATACTTTAGTGGTGTTATGTATCGCTAGATCCATTCTAATGTTAATTTTGCAATCACATCTTCAGAATCTGATCTTCTCACCGCGCAATTCAATTGTGATGGAGGTAAGAGGTACCCCGGAGGGATATATGGACCCTTCGCCTTTTGAAGAAGGAATGTCAGAGTTGGACATCATCTTCGAGTTGAATCAAGAACACAACCCCGATCTAAGTTCCTGTCCAGAGAACCTAAACTGTAAAGTATCCAAGAAGTAAGTTGGTATTCTTGTTTATTAATTATAACTCGATTCCCAATTGATTTTGTAATTTGAAATGCAAATTCGTATCAGAATAGGTCATAGCAGAAGTATCATAATTTACAATCAAGTTATCGGCCATATTTCCAACAACATCTGATATCGTACTCATCAGCACCATGAGATTCAGATATAAATTCGGTCTGAACCCTTATGCACTAAATCATTCAACCACCATTTCAGATATAAAACCGACTTTTGGTTAGACGAGGCTCAGTTCGAAAAAGGACTTAAGAGTGCATTGAAGCGTCAACAAGCTCGGTGCGGCGACATCTGGAAATGATCGCATCTTAAGCATCACAACATAGTAATCGGTTTAAAATTTAGATAATAAAAATATTCACAACCTGGATGACTCTATGGTATAATGCTGCGTTGTCTTTTCTAATACGAATGGTTCCAACCCAGGAGATTTCTATGCTACAAACTGTATTCCAAGGTCCAGAAATGTGTTATGCCATGATCTCATACATGTAGCAGCTTCGGTTTTACTTTTGTACGGTTTGTACCCAATCTAGTAGTTTTCTAAGGTAAAATCAAAGTGGGACAAGATAGTCTATTGCTTCATACCCAAAAAAAAATGGGCGATGTCTCTCTTACTACACATAAAAACGATTTCACCTGATGTAACCTCAGTTCTTAAAAACTTAATCTCAAATATGGCAGCCCGTACATCACCGTAGTTGTTTTCACTCCCCCGGTTTGTGATTGCATTGGTTTATTGCAAGGGTGAAGCTGCTCTAATCAGCTATTGTATCGATTCCATGAATTCGAAAAAGATAACAGCTGATTGATAGTTCATTATATGTATTTATATACATAAAAATGTGTACAATCCCCCCCCTTCCATTTCCCTTCATCGAGAGGAATGAACAGCTGATTCCCCCACACCCGCTGGCTGCTGGTTGCTGTCGAATAAATTCTGTTCTTATGTGTTTTTACTTGTTAAAAATTTACGCAGTATAACTGACCTAAAATCAGAATGGATGCACTGTGATTGGTCCAAATGAACCTTGATTTTGCCAGTAAGAGACCGGAATATAGATTACGTCACAGTAGTATAATATAAAACAGATTGCGACAAAATGATTGTTAGTTTCTGGCTCCTGTCCCTGGGTCCTGGGTCCTGTGTCCGTCACTGTGGTCATAACTCTTGGTATTCCGGTTTGCCGTTTTATCGATAACTTTGAATGGTAGCCGCTCTACTAGTACAGCCACAGATATCAACATTTTTTAATAGATGTCCAGTTGTCTACACTCCACAGCCGCAGGACTGGCTCTCGGTTCTAATTAATAATAATACAAATTTATTTTAAAAACGGTCACAAACTCCATTTATATAAATAAATGATACTCGTCCAACGAATTGCGAGAGCCAATAAAACAGCGTCGCAAAGAGGATTGTGCACAAACGTACTTCCAAAAAGTCTGTCACATAAAACAATATATTTTTTTATTTAGGCCAGAGCAGAGAACTAAGAAAAGTATATTTAAAATAGGCGAGAGTATGTAAATTGGAGAGATACAGCCTACAGGACGTGATGTGTGAACACCCCTCCCTGTACAAATATTGTAATCAGTGCTTTGTTGAACCTCACTCTTCAGCCGTTGATACATAGCTGTGTTAAGAGTTAATACTAACGTAGCAATTGTGTAGTAAGAATGACCATGTTCAGTACCAAAAGAGACAATTGTATCTGTGTAAGCACCAGCCCTAAGATGGCCGTTTGCTCGTCTGCAACAAAGAAGCATCAGAACACATCAGTAACTCACTCGTTAGTTTACCGTGGTCTAGGTGAATCCGAAAGTGTCAGTAGGGATAGTATATTCCGTAAGATGCGCAATTTGGAACTCGACAAATCTCTAGATATAACTGCACAACTACCTGCAGAGATAGGCCTACTTTTATTCCAGTTCTTGAATGTCGAAGAAGCACTTAAATTCGCACAGACCAACACCGCCTGGGCAAGCGTTGCTCGCACAGATGTGATTACTAGGAGGACACTAACCACTAGAAATGTATCACCGCCACCGAAAAATAAGACCCTTCTCACATACATCGCAATGTGCCTTAAAAGATTCCCCAATATAGAAACGGTCGACCTCAGAGGGTGCGATGGCATGCAGACGGCAGAAGGACGTTACAAGATCATCAAGTGTGTGCTACGAAATGCGCCTAACTTGACCAGTATAGTGCTGAACGCAGGACTACTAACCAACTCCAAGTGTATGCAGCTGGCCATCGACGAAGATCATTTTGTCTTGGTGAAGGCTTTGCTTGAACAGTCGCAGTCACCTCGGGGCAGGAAGAGAACTTTTGTTGAGACGGATGTAGTCACACCAGACCATCTCTTTAGCGAGGGTCTCTCAGCATTGTATTTCGCTTCTCAACGAGGAAAATCGAAGATTGCTCGCTTATTTTTAGATAAAGGTGCCAATCCGAATCTTAAGATCTTCAATGATTGGACGGCCTTGCACGGTGCTGCTTGGCATGGCTATGAGGATACTGCGAAGGTGTTGCTGGAGTGCGGTGCGGAGATCAATCAAATACTAGAAGATGGAGGTGAGTACAATGTTTGGTAGCTAATTATATTTGTGACTTATACATGTATAGTTACTAGCAGTGGACATTGCCCACAAGTGCGACTGTATGTTCATTTAAGTACTGCACCGATATCCTTTCAGCTACGTACTGTAATTTTGTCGATTTGCTGATACGTATACTTCTCTCTAGACTGTACCTTCTTCTAGTTATCGAACCGCTTTGTAGTATTCAAAATTTCCAGTTTGTTTAAAGACTTTTTATTTAAAGTTCCACGTAAGTCTTCATATACATAACCAATGTAGAGAAATAAGATTGGCCACTCAGCTTCTAGTACGTCTCAATCGACAATGATTTTTATTGTATCTGTTCCTGAGCTAAAATGCCAAATTTCATTTTCGAATATGTTGTTGCGAACACCTCTACATACAATCTGATGAAATAAGTTGATTACGTTTTGGCATACACTAAGCCGAATTCGCCATTACTTTTTATAGCTACTGCGCTGTTCATTGCTGCTCAGAATGGTGGCATAGACTTCGCTGAGTTTTTAATATCGAGGGGCGCCGATGTAGATTTTCCCAAAATTGATGGAGGTATGTACCTGTTTGAATTTGGGTTTCCATGATGCCGTCTGTGTTTTCTTGCATTGGGAAGCATTGTTCGACTTTGTGCATGGGTTTTTTTTTAAACGGCTGCTTGTCTTGTCTCGCGTCCTCACACCTCTCTTCTGTCTGGCCTTCCTGTATCGACCAACAGCCACACCAATGCACATAGCCTCGGAGAAAGGCCACGCGAAGATCGTCAAGCTTCTATTGAGACACGATGCTAACCTAGCCCTATGCAAGAGAGACGGTGCCTCTCCTTTGTTTATGGCTGCTCAATCTGGCCATGTAGATATTGTCAAGTTGCTTTTGCAAAGTGGTGCCAACGTAGATCAACAGCTGCTTGATGGAGGTGCGTAGAGTGGTTTGATGATGGACATTTCGGTTGTCTGTGCTGCATTCAAGCTGCAGCTGTCTTCGTTTCTCTCTTAGATCAACGCAGAAAGGCTTGTTGCTAGTTCTCACTCTATTATTGATTTATAATTACAGCGACACCGATCTTTATTGCGGCCCAGAATGGACTACTTGAATGTGCGGAGTGCCTGGTGGAACATGGCGCTGATGTGGACGCTCAATTACAGGATGGTGCCGGTCCGTTGTTCGTTGCAAGCCAGAACGGTCACACGGATCTAGTACGATTTCTACTGAAGGCAGCTGGAGCCAGTGTGAACCTTCCCAAGGTGGACGGGGCGACACCACTGCATATAGCGGCAGAGAAAGGTCATCTGGATTTATCCATCATTCTGCTGGAGGCCGGTGCTGATGAAAACATTGCCAAAGGAGATGGAGGTATACCAGACTACATCCGCTGCTATCATACCGTGTCGAGTCTTTTCAAACCGATTTAATCTCGCTTAAAGTGATACTATTGTTTTTTTTTAATTGGTTCCTTTTAGGCCGTTTGTTTGCTGCTTACTAATCAAAGCAGCTTCATTTTAACGTAATATCTCTTTCACCATCAGCTACGCCTCTGTTTATGGCCTCACAATCTGGACATGTCAACATCGTGAAGCTGCTTGTGAAGGCCGGAGCCAATGTCAACCAGCAACTTCTTAACGGAGCAACACCTCTTTGTATTGCAACACAGAATGGTATGAATGAAATCATTGAATGCCTTAAAGCAAATGGGGCAACTCCATAATTCCCAGCGACGTGGACATTCGATACCGAATGCATCTGAGCTTCCAACGAGAAGGTTGCATATCAAGAATAACTGCGAAGCTCTTTGAACTGCTTATACTGCATACCCTTAAGTTTTCCATGAAGAACTTATGACGACTAAGCTTGTGCTCTTGTGCGGACCTTTAAAAATACGCACAGGATATTTCTGATAGCCTGAGCATGCCGACGAAGAGTTCTCGATATGCATGTAATTACAATGTTGTTACAATTGACATGTCGACTGGTATGGCACTTCTTGTATGGTACAAGTGCGGCCGTCAGTGACTTGAGAGACAGCGCATATCTAAATACACTCGGCATATAGCTGCATCATCGACTAAGGCATATTGCCAGTTCCCATTATACTTTATCCCCCTGAAAGAATAGATTCAAAATATCATTCACGACTTTATATAGTGGTATTGAGATTTAAGCATGTCACCTATACCTACAAATGATAGTGATGCCTGCGACCGACATACACTTATAAACATTAGGCTGATTTTGCTTACTTATTAAAATAAAACAGACTGACTGACCGCCTATAAACGTGTCCACCGTCATTTCTTTGTGTGGTTGCTTAAGATTTAACTTTTTCTTTCTGTTGGTCCACGATTCGCCAACAGAACTAGAGACGTTAACCATTCATCAGATGAACACAAAAATACAAACGACTTTTTATCAGAGGGTTCGAGGCTTCTTTTGCACTTTAATGAAATCTCCTGAGTTAAAATCGAGTTACATATCCCTGTAGCACCGCCCACTTTCGCCGTCAGAATCGGGATGGACCAGAAAACCAGATCTTTTCAGCATCTCAGCTGCGATAATATATTTGTCCGCAACGGGGCATAAAAAAATACTGCCCCAGATCCACTCAACAAACTGATTCAAAGTTTCTCAATGTCGATAGGAAAAGCAGTTACTTTGCCCAAGCAGTAAGTTCTCCAGTGCACATACGCGTTTGCATGAATTCGATAGCAACTATGAACACAAGGCCGAACGAATCCAGGGGCCTATAAAAGAATAAAAGATACTGCAACATTCAATAGTTCCACCCCCTCTTGCATTTACAAAGCGCCCGCACTAACATGGCGTTAACTATACAAAATCCGGCTACTTTCCCGACCCCGCTTAGTACTTCTCATACT